TTAACATGTTGCTCACACCAGCATCAGTTCCATAACAGGGATAAAAACACAATGGCAACAGCTAAAAGCATGGGTTATAGGAATAATAGCAGTGGAATTCAGGAAAGAGGAAGATAAAGAGGAAGCTGTGAGAGGAAGTGACCTCCACCTTTGCAACAATCCTGCCCACATCTCACACTGCTGCCCGGGCTCTGCAGGCAGCAGGAACAGACAGGGCAGGATTAGGCATTGACGGTGCATTGGCTGCCAACGTCAACTCATCAAACATACACACATGCATGTACACACACACTCACTCACACACATACACACACACGCGTGTACACACACTCACACACACACGTACGCACGCATGCATGCATGCATGCACGCACACACGCGCACACACACACACACACACACACACACACACACACACACACACACACACACACACACATGCACACACACACACACACACACACACACACACACACACACACACACACACACACACACACACACACACACACACACACACACACACACACACATTATTTTCTAACATTTGCTGTGAGGACCGTCATTGACTTCCATTCATTTTAGTGACTGGATTGTGCCTAACCCTACCCCTAATTCTGACCATAACCAGTCTGCTCCTAATCCTAACCTCGACTAAAACTTTATTCATGCCACACCTCTAAAAATAACGAGTAGAGCTCTGTAACATTGTACCAAAGTGAGGACTAGCAAAATGTCCTCACTTTGATTCTAATGTCTTCAGTTTGCAGGTAAAAGCTTGTCATTGGTCCCCACTTTGATGAATAGACAAGTACCCCCCCACACACACACACATGCACGCATGCATGTGCAGACACGCACACACACACACACGGCCAGTGACAGAAACACAAAGACTTCTCTACAACGAACATTTTTGCTTTAGACAGAAAATGAAGAAAAAAATACAATAAAGGGAAATGACACATCTGCATTGTTGTTTTGTGTCAAAAGTGAGGAGGCAGTTGGGGATCCTTCAGCTAAGACAAGGCAACAGCACATACTGTTATTGGCAGGGAACAGATGTTTGAGGGAGAGTTGGCATCCAATAACCATTCATCTTCTGACAGAAATCAACAAGAGAAGCACGAGAGACACGCCGTGATTGTCACCCAAATGAAAGGAAGGCCCTTAAAAATACAGGGAAGCTGGCATGCAAACATTTTTTTTGATTTTACACCCCCAAAACATCTGACTACTTAGGTCTGCCAGCGTTTGTGGGCCAAGGGTGAAACACAGCGTATACGACTTCCACAGCTTTCCATAAACAAGGAATCTGAGCTAAGTTGAAGAAAATGAGGATGAAAAGTCACAGCAAGGGAAAAATACAAAGTACATCAAGCTAACAGCTCTGACGCCTCCGCTAAAATACAAAACCACATGCCCGACGTGCAATCTGTAACGTATACCTCAATAAACACACACAGACACACATTCAGATACAGGATGTTGGCAGTCAATTCTGTAAACACTTCCCTTATCCCTTAGTAGTGTAATCTGCCTCCGATAAATGCCCCTCAAAGATAGAAATGTCACCTGATATGATAAACAGTATGCTGACGTTACATAAAGTGGCCGTATGCTAAGGAGTTGGAGAGATTAACAGCAGAGCGGAGATGGAAAAAATGGTTGCTATGATAAAAAGCAGACATTTAACTGAAGCAGAGAGCTGTGATCAGATGTAGCTCATGTTCAGTGTGACTGGCTGAGAAAAATGGGGCTTTGTTATATTCCTGGGGTTACAATACAAAGAACCTGAGCTAACCTAAAAGTTACACAGAGTCAATTACCAAATACAAACAAGTATTTATGACATTAAAAGGTTATTATCTTCAAATTTGAGCTTTTTAATAGATGATCACTAAAGTGAATCCAATGATTTTTTTTAAAAGTGAAGTAGAAGAGCAAAAATTCTTGTTTCACTTAAACAATTAGGTTTCCAAAGCAGTGAGAGAAAGCACTTAGTCCACACAACAGCTTTACAGATGTCAGATCACCATCGCATGAGCAGATTAGGCATTTTGACTGTATGACATAGTGCTAAGCTCTGGAGACTTGTGCACTAGCCACTCGGTTGCTCTGCAAACTTACAGTAATCACTACAGTACGCTGCTGGCTTTTCTTCCCCACGTCGGCAAAAAGAGGAGGCAGCACCAATTCTCACATGTTCTATAACGTAGAGGGAGAACACTAAGTCAGTTTAATGAGCACATCAGATGTCCGTGAGTGGCCTGGGGGGGGCTCTATATGTTCCCATAAACAGTGGTAGAGGCACGCTCCCCTACATCATCCAGATTTAACGCGGGAAACTTTGGGGGGCAATTTTGCAGAAATATTATAGCGAGAACCCTGGTCCCCGTATCTTTTTCTACTATTAAGCATTAATACGTTGCTCCTCTCAGAATGAGTGAAGGTATGAACACCACAATGTTGCTGGTGCTGGGGGGTGGAATTTACCCAT